GGTTTGTGTCAGAGCTCTCTCAGCCCCACCCACCTCACAGGGTGTGTCTGTTGTGGGGAGGGGAAGGGGAAGGAGTTTGTAAGCCGCTCTGAGACTCCAAGTGAAGGGCCATGGGGTATAAATCCAATCTCTTCTTCTACATGGATAGGGAGATGTAACCAAAATTGTACATTCTGCTCATATAATGGATCTTTCCTGCCTCCTCCCCCCGTGCCCCCCCAACCCAACCAGGGAACCCTCCGGAGCAGCACAGGGTGCTACATGGGGACTGCCAGGAAGAGGGGGTGGGTGAGAAATCCCTCCCTCCCTCCCCCCACCACGCATAAGTGTGGACTCATCACAAAAGGGCTTTTTTGGTCAGACACATTTTCACGTGTTCCTCCCACTGGTTTGGAAGGTTGATGAGATCAGTGCAGAAGCAGCAGCAGCGCTTCTCTAGCAGTCTCAGTTGTACAAAGACCACTTTGCCTGCTGCACCCCCTCAGCCATCCACGCCCCCTGTGCCACGGAGGGTCAGGGTTCCGCGCCCCCCCCTCGCAGGGAGTGGCTGCAACTGCTTGGTGGGGGCTCACCAGTGCCGAAGGCAGAGATGAGTTCTGGGCAGTCCATTTGACAGGAAGAAACATTGCACTCTGCAAAAGTGACACTTCGGAGCTTCATAGAGAATTTAGTCTCCTTAGCAGAAAGGTTTTCAAGAGCTATGTTTGGTAGTATATTGGAGGAAATTGGTTGCAGGTCAGCCTGCTTAAATCATTCTATTTATTCGAGGAGTGGGCTTTAATTCTCAGACAGTGTGGCTTCAAGCTGCCTCACTTTAGCTGTTTGCACTACTCGTGGAGGGGGGGGGATTGAGGGTGCTACACCCTGAATGGAGCCGTGGAGTGTGCGTGTGTGTCAATCATGACTGTTATTTCAGGTCAATCTGTCTCTTCTAGCACTTTCATGTTGCTGGTAACAATCTCCTTTTCTTCCTCTTTCTAGTGGGATGGAGTCGGACCTCTCCCGGAATGTGCAGAACCACCCAAAGGAATCCAGATGCTGTGGCACCCGTCCATAGTCAAACCCTACCTCACACTTCTCTCTGAGTGCTCCAACCCAGATACGCTGGAAGGGGCAGCCGGAGCATTGCAGAACCTGGCCGCAGGTAGCTGGAAGGTAGGCCGCCGGGGCCCCCCACCCCCCCCCCCACCTCCGTGCAGCTCCAAGCAGCCTGTCCCTTGAGTGTCACACGGGGGGCGGGGGGGGTAGGGCCCAGACTCCAGTGGGAATGAGGCTCTTCCCCCGGTTATATTCGATATTTGTGCAGGTACATATTGGCGGTGGTTGGCCTTAGTGTCTAGCAACTGTAATATTTCTCTGAAGTCTGTGCTGTTAGATTAATTCTTAAAACTTCACTTTAGCTGAAGTACGGATCAACATCTGCAGTTCTGTTTGATCTCAACAAGGCAATCTCATAGCAGGGACACCCAAGTATACTTCTTGGCACCGATTGATATCCTTGCTATTAGCCTCCGTCAAAAGGCCAGGGATGAATGAGAAGACACAGGCCATGTGCTCCTGGGGGGGGGGGTTCCCACTGCCAGACAAGGGACTGATTCTGCTGAAAATCTTCTCCTGGGCCTTAATTAGCCCCATACCAAGATGCATGTGCTCAGGTTGTGTAAGGCTGAGGTGATTTAATACATTCGTTTTCTGTACTCTGACAGCGTGCTTTACGTAAGCAGTGAAGCTGTTAATTAAGTGTAGTAATCTATACAGATCAGGAGGTAGAACACAAGCTGGTGCTTGCTAACAATAGTCCGTATATCAACAAGATGCGTAGTTTGTCATGTCCAAGGTAAGCATGTTTGATCAAACAATCACTCCTTCACATGGGAGGTCAGTGATACAACTGAGCAGTGAATGAAATAATCTGCCTACCTAGAAAGCATGTGTAGAAATTATGTCTGTGTCTCTCTCCCAGCTTCTTCATTCTGTTCTTTCAATTTGACACAAATGTGATTGACACTGGAGGGGACCATTTCCTCTTTGTGCATCCTTTGCTTAGGCACTGTCATTTAGTCCTTGCCGTTCGCCAGTTCTGGTGCCTTTTTATAAGGCAGAAAATATGTGTTTACAGAATGAAATCTGACTACAAGCAGAGCTTTCTTTACACTCTCCAGGAAACAATAATAATAGGGGGGCAGCCATGAAGTTTACGATACAAAAGTCATATGTCAGAGTGCCCAGAGACATCACTTAAATGATCCTGAAAAGCTCTCCCTAGGCCCCAGTGAATTTAGGTAACTATAAGAACATAAGAGAGGCCAATGCTGGATGAGGCCGATGGCCCATCCAGTCCAACACTCTGTCACACAGTGGCCAAAATTACCAGGTGCCATCAGGAGGTCCACCAGTGGGGCCAGGACATGAGAAGCCCTCCCACTGTTGACCCCCCCCCCCAAGCACCAAGAATACAATGCATCACTTGCCCCAGACTGAGAATTCCTTGTGGCTAATAGCCACTGATGGACCTCTGTTCCATATGCCTATCTAATTCCCTCTTGAAGCTGTCCATACTTGTAGCCACCACCATCTCCTGTGGCAGTGAATTCCATGTATTACTCACTCTTTGGGTGAAGAAGTACTTCCTTTTATCTGTTTTAACCTGACTGCTCAGCAATTTCATTGAGTGCCCACGAGTTCTCGTATTGTGAGAAAGGGGGAAAAGTACTTCTTTCTCGACCTGCTCTTTCCCATGCATAATCTTATAAACCTTGATCGTGTCACCCCTCAGCTGTCATTTCTCCAAGCTAAAGAGCTTGCTTCTCTAGAACAATAGTCCGCCTGGATCGAGGAACTAACCAATAGATAAGAGGTATAATAGCCTATCACTGGGAGTGGGTGTGTATTCGATGTGGTGTTTGCATGCTTTATAAGAGCTCCATTGCCATGCACATCGCACATCGCATCACTCCCAGGACTATGGCTGCCACTCCAGGGCATTTCGACGCATTTGACGCCACCGCGGAAGACTGGGAGTCTTACTTCTCCCGGTTTGAGTTTTTTCCAGAGTCCTCTGGGATCGAGGCAGCGGCAAAGAAGCATGCCACCCTCGAGGACGCACTTCGTGACCGACTGGTCTGTGGCCTGAGGGATGAGCAGATTCAAAGGAAGCTCCTCGCCAAGGGCGATCCCAAATTAAAAGAGGCCATGGAAGTGGTCCTCGCTGCGGAGGCCACTGATCAGTTAACCGCAGAGGTCTGGCAAGCAGAAAGCCTGCCAGCATCGTGGAGGCCCACCACGATGAAGAGGTCCTGCAACTCCAGCTTCCTACACACCACAACGCTTGCCCGTCTGCACTACCACGTACTGTTGACACCGCCACATCAACACCATGCACCAGCTGTGGGGAGCCCCACAAGCGGAGGTCTTGCCAGTTCCGGGACGCCACATGCAGGAACTGCGGGAAGGTTGGCCACATCGCCCGAGCCTGCTGTGCCAAGGGAAACTGGAGGAGACCTACAGCAAGCCCGGCATCCACACACACCGCAGAATTGCACACCACCTCTGTCCAGCAGCAACAGGTACTGAACTTGCCTCGGGACACCCCTGATAAAATTACAGTGACTGTCCGAATCGAGGGAAATCCCTGCATGATGGAGTTTGACACAGGGTCCTCCATCTCCATAATTTCAGAGGACACTTTTAAGAGACTCTGTCCGGGGGGGGGGCCGGGGGGGGGGGGGGCTGTGGGTTTCACCCTGTGGGACTTCCAAAAGAACAAAGTGGCCGTGAGAGGGGAGGGCAAGTTCCGGGTACAGTACCAGAATTTTGATGGACTTTTGGACTTGCTGGTGGTGGGAGGCAGTCACACGAGTCTCCTGGGACTAGCCTGGTTCGCGCCCTGGGGGTTCTGAGTGACTGGGGTGCACCACATGGCCACAAAAGACTTTCAGTGGATGTGCAACAAGTTCCCGGTGGTCTTTGGTGGGGTGCTCAGTCGCTACACCGGACCCCCCGTCTCACTGCAGCTCAACCCAGAGATGCGGCCCATACAGCTGAAGGCTAGGCGCGTTCCGTTTGCCTTAAAGCCTAAGATAGACGTGGAGCTTTATCGTCTAGTGGCTCATGGGGTTTTAGAGCCAGTTCCACATGCCCTCTGGGAAACCCCTATTGTGACACCAATGAAGCACAACGGGGACGTTTGCATCTGCGTGGACTACAAATGCACGATAAACAAGGCGCTGCAGGACCACTCCTACCTAGTTCCACTAGTCAGCCATGTCTTGGCCTCTCTGGTGGGAGCCATGATCTTTGGAAAGCTGGACATAGCTCAGGCCTACCAGCAGCTCCCTGCAGATGATGTGATCACGGAGGCCCAGACTGTAGTGACGCACAGGGGCGCATTCCAGGTGTGGTGGCTGCAGTTCAGTGTCAGTGTAGCCCCAGGAATTTTCTGGAACCTAATGGACTCTCTCCTTAAAGGAATTCCTGGGGTACAGCCCTTCTTCGGTGACATTTTAATTGCTGCCCCCACAGACAAGGACTTCGCCAGAAGGCTGCACACTATCCTGCAGCAGTTCCAATCAGCCGGCCTCAAGGTGAAGCAGGAGAAATGCCTCCTGGGGGTGCCGCAGGTCGAGTTCCTGGGATTCTCCATCGATGCGGAGGGCATCCATATGGCCCCAGACAAGGTGTGTGCCATTGGCAACACCCCTGCACCGACCTCCAAGCCGGAACTCCAAGCCTTCTTGGGGCTTCTGAACTTCTGTCTCTCTTTCCTGCCCCACAAAGCTGCAATTGTGGAACCACTTCACCACCTCCTCAACCAGAAGGCTCCATGGGTCTGGGGCCAGAAACAAGCTGCTGCGTTCCGAGACATCAAGGAGCTGCTCACCTCCAACGCCGTCCTGGTCCACTTTGATGAGGCAATGCCTGTCGTCCTCACCTGCGACGCTTCCCCGTACGGGGTAGGTGCCATCCTTGGACATCAGCTACCGGCCGGCCAGGAGGTCCCCATGGTGTACTACTCTTGCACCTTGTCTTCGGCCGAGTGCAACTACGTGCAAATTGACAAGGAGGCGCTGGCTATCGTGGTGGGGGTGAAGAGATTCCATGACTATGTCCACGGGTGGCCGTTCACCATCGTAACAGACCACAAGCCCCTGCTGGGCCTGCTGGCTCCGGATCGCCAGACCCCCCCCCAGATGCCCTGAGTGCTGCGATGGTCGATCTTCCTGGCAGGATACCAGTACTCCCTCCTCCACCGCCCAGGAAAGGCAATGGGACATGCCGATGCCCTCAGCCGCCTGCCGCTCCTGCGATCCCGACCCCGCTCCCATGCACCAAATCCCGCTCATGGAGGAACTTCCCGACCACCCTCCACAGTTAACTGACTTGTATCACCACACCGCAAAGGGCCGTGTCCTCTCTCGTGTTTTGGACTGGGTGGGGAGGGGCTGGCCCACCAGGCGGGTGGACCCGGAATTTGCAGCTCTCTCCTGGTGGGACGAGTTATCAGCCCACAAGGGTTGCCTACTGTGGGGGAGCCGGGTGGTGGTGCCCGATCCTTTGTGCCAGCAAGTGCTATCGGCTCTGCACAAGACGCATCCTGGAATTGTGAGGAGGAAAGTACTGGCCTGCAGCTACATGTGGTGGCCAGGCATGGACGGGGAAATAGAGGCCTGTGTCAAGCACTGCCAGGCCTGTCAAGAAACCCGACCGGAACCTCCCAGGGCACCAGTGAAGCAGTGGGAATCCACCCACAAATCATGCTCCCGGCTACACCTGGACTTTGCTGGCCCCTTCCAAGGGCAAATCTTCATTTTGGTGGACTCATACACCAAATGGTTGGAGGTGGTGCCTGTTGCCTCCACCTCTTCCAAAGCAGCGATCCAGGCCCCCCGACAGATTTTCAGTACACACAGCCTACCCGACATAGTCGTGACGGACAATGGAGCTCACTTCGGGGGAGTTCCAGGAATTTATGGGCCGCTACCTCATCAGGCACATCCGCTCCATTCCCTTTCACCCAGCCACCAATGGGCAAGCAGAGAGGATGGTGCGAACCACGAAGGAGTCCCTCCAGCGGATTGTCCACAAAGACTGGGACCATAGACTCGCGGCTTTCCTTTTTGGCCACCAAGTGACCCCAAGCACCTCCACCGTCCACAGCCCTGCGGAACTCCTAATGGGCAGGTGCCTAACCACCTGACTGGACAGGCTGCACCCAGATCAAGCTCCAGAGCACCGCCCGTCTCCAGAGATCCAAGAGGCGCCTAGAGGATTTTCCCCCAGTAACACCGTCTACGCGATAAACTTCTCCAGCCTGGATTCCCGCCAAAGTCATCTGAGTTACCGGACGCCTGTCCTATGAAGTGTCTACCGACGACAGTCAAGTTCTTCGGAGGCACATAGACCAGCTCTGCCACCATCTCCTTCCAGCTGAACCAGGTTTGCCGGCAGCGGTCTGAAAAGATTGTGACATGGAACTGCCACAGGAACCAGAGCCCGCAAGGCTCTGCTTCCAGCAGGCAGCAAACAGCCAAACAGACCAGTGGGCGAAGCATCGGAGCAAGCGTCCACAGACTGCCCCGATGTCACGCCAATGCCGCTACCATCTGCCAGCACCAAACCAGCAATGTGAGACCCAAGTCCAGAGACCGCAACTCCCCTGATAGAACTGCAACATTCACCCCGGGAATGACACAAACCAGCCTATTTAAGAGACTTTGTCTGTTAAGGAGCTTTTGAACTTAGGGGGGAGGGGTGTTATGTATTGAGCCTAAGCCATTCCTCAGGCTGTACGTAGAATGGGCTGAGCTTGCTTCTCTAGAACAATAGCTCGCCTGGATCCAGGAATTAACCAGTAGATAAGAGGTGTAATGTAAATAGCCTATCACTGAGAGTGGGGGGGGTGTTGGGTGTGGTGTTTGCATGCTTTATAAGCAGGGCTCAAGCCCTGCTAGTTTGTTTTTTAGCTTGCTAAAATCACTTAATAAACTTGAGCTGAGCACTGCAATGCATCTAGAACCCAGTATTTAACACCTTTCCTCATAGGGAAAGTGTTCCAACACTTTTATCATTCGAGTTGCCCTTTTCTGCACTTTTTCCAGTGCTATAATATCCTTTCTGAGGTGTGGTGACCAGAACTGTACACAGTACTCCAAATGAGGTTGCATCATCAATTTATACAGGGACATAATGATATTGGCGGATCTGTTTTCAGTTCCCTTCCTAATAACCCCCAGCATAGTGTTGGCCTTTTTTATTGCAGTCACACACTGTCTCGACATTTTCATTGAGTTATCTACTACGACTCCAAGATCTCTCTCTGCCAGTTCAGGCCCCATCAATGTGTATTTATATTTAGGATTTTTGGCTCCAATGTGCAGCACCTTGCACTTGGCCACATTGAACCCCATTTGCCATGTTGACGCCCACTTGCCCATCCTCAACAGATCCCTTTGGAGTGCCTCACAATCCTCCCTGGTTTTCACCACCCTGAACAACTTTCTGTCATATGCAAATTTAACCACTTTACTGCTTAGTCCCAACTCCAAATCATTGATAAACAAGTTAAAAAGCATTGGACCAAGTACTGATCCCTGTGGTACCCCACTGCTTACCACCCTCCACTGAGAAAATTGCCCATTTATACACTCTCTGTTTCCTATGAATTAGCCAATTTTTGATCCCATGACTATTGAGCTTACTTGGGAGCCTTTGATGAGGAACTTTATCAAAAGCTTTCTGGAAGTCAAGGTAAATAATATCTATTGGATCCCCCTTGTCCACATGTTTGTTCACTCCCTCAAAGAACACTAACAGGTTAGTGAGGCAAGATCTTCCCTTACAGAACCCATGCTGAGTCTGCCTCAATAGGTTTTGTTCATCTATGTGCCTACTAATTCTTTCCTTAATAACAGTTTCCACCAACCTATCTGGTATCAATGTCAGACTGACTGGCCTGTAATTTCCTGGATCTCCTCTGGAACCCTTTTTAAAGATGGACGTATATATAGCAATAACAGAACCCCACTAGTGGTCTCATAGAGCTCTCAACTCAAAATAGTTCAAAGTGACTTACAACCTCTACTGGATAATGACAGTTCCATGGGGTCTGTCTTGTATCAGGTTTTCTCTGGGTATCATTCTAACTTTGTTAATCTGTTTCTTGACTTCATCAGGTGGATATTTTACTTCCAAAAAGAATTGTTGTAGATCCCTCAGGTGAGAATCTCTGTCTGTAGGATTGGAGTAGATGCAGCTGTAGTGTAGAGCAATGGATTGTTTGGCATGGTAAAGATGGTAGCTGGAGGCATGTAGATATGTTTGTTGGTCCATAGATTTCTGATATAAGATGGTGTCTATGCATCCATCATGTATTTGTACAGTAGTATCCAGAAAATGTATTTCTTGCATAGATTGGTTCATTGTCATTCAACGACTTTCACCCCACCATCAACGTGACAATGAACCAATCTATGGCTCAAATGCGGTTCCAGTCACTCGCTGCCCCCATTCATTCATATCCTCTACACACACACATAGAGGTATTAAATTCTGTGTGTGTGTGTGTGCGCTTCTTACGATTAAACGAAACAAGAAAACTTTTGTTTATGATATAAACAAAACACTGAGGACAGTAAAGAAACTGATGTGTGCACATGCAGTGTGTGTGCTGTAACATGTGAACAGGGCTTCTGTCACTGTTTGTCCACTCAAAATTCCCCCTTCCAGCTGCCCAAGCAGCTCCAAGAGGTAAAAGATGGAGAAGCTGGAGCAAGTAGCCCTGAGCAGCATCAGACTTGGTATTGTTCCTCAGGTTTGAGGCATCGTGACCTTGTGGCACATTTCTCCAGGGCCCCTTTTGCTGAGTCTGAAAAGGGAGCTCAGATCTGTTTCCAAATGAAGGGGCGGGGGATCCAGCATCATCCTTCCCCAACAGGCTTTACGCCAAACTGATTCTCAAAATGGCAAGATCTTTGGAGATGAATGTCACAACCACTGACAACAAACCCAAGGATAAGATCTTGTGCTGACTGTGCCCTGAATCATTGGAGGGGTCTTCAGTGTGGCAGAGACCATCCTCCATACCTGCAGGGTCTCTGAAAGAATCTCTGCAAAATTAAACAGGACTCTTGTGAGTTTTTGTCTGTGCATTCTCCTCCTTCACCACATCACCAAGGAGCTGCAACCTAGACAAAGGCAGGGGCCCTACTCCGCACCTTTGGATAAGTAGAGTGGGGCAAAAGTCCTACTTGTCAGCGGCCCTACCAGGCAATTATGAGCGGGTGCCAGCGCTTCCCTCCGGAAAAGCTTTACCAGTACTTGGATGTCTTGTCTGAGGATAAACATTCTCTCGCTCAATTGATCCATGATGAGGTGATTTGCCTATCTAAGCAGGAGATAAGTGCGGGCACCCACACAGTCGGCTGATGCCTCTGCTAGATCTACAGCACAGACCATAGTTTTACGCTGGCAAGCACCACCCCCCACCTTAACTGCTCTGGGTGACTTGCCTGGAGCTGCTCCTCCAGGCAGGCCTGCTGAGGCCTCTCCGCCCGTTGCCTCAGTGACCGGCTCTCCCAGAGCTGCTCCAGGCAAGCCCTGTGAGGCTTCCCCCCCCCCAATCACTGCTCTTGGCAAGTCTTTCCTTCCCAAGTTTCCTCCTCAAGTCTTCCCGCCCAGACACATCACCACTCCAGGCAGGCCCACTGAGGCTTCCCTCCTCACATCACTGTTTTCAGGGGCTCGCCTGGAGAAGTTACAGGCAGGCCTGCCAAGGCTCGCCCCCCCGCGTGCCCATTGCTCACCGGAGAGCCAGGCCCAGCAGTGACTCATGGGTTTCTCCGCTGCAGCCACCACCGGGGCCCCCAAAGGTAAGTGCATTGTCTGTGCGTACAGAGACACTTTATTTAATTTGGGGGGAATTTAAACTCGCCAGTGCATTTTTGTAACATTTTAGATTTTTCTGCAAACTAGGGATCCCCCAGCTTCGTAGAAAAATCTGTTTGGGGAAAGTGTGGCCCCGATCTGGACAGAGTTAGACGTCCACACAGAGATAGGGGGGCACAGATAGGGGGAAATGTATAAAGCGATAAGCGAAGTGTTTGAAGCAGGTTCTTACACCAGTAATCCTGACAACAAACATAAAATAGATCTGTGGCCATCATATTCTTGTGGATGGGAACTCTGGTTAGCTTTAACTTGAGTAAGATATACCAAGCTAACCATGGAGAAGAGAAGCCCAGGTAGAAACTGCCTTGAATTTTAAAATCAGCAATTGTCACTTCCTAGTTGCCGGTACAAATTAAGGTGAGCTTGGAGGCCAAGATGCCAGTTAGAAACATATCTGTTAATTTCCTGATTGCAGTGGCTCTGATCAGGAAAATATAATCGTCTTCCTCTAAACTTTATAGCAACACCCTATTCTTTTTGGTTTATGGGCCTTTAACACGAGAGAGGGAGGGAGGGAGGGA